TATTATTGTGTAAGCGCTAATGATAAAAATAATTTCAAAAGGTAAAAAAAGTACAGTATAGCTCCGATTCCGCGATTATCCGTAAACAAAATTGATTTTAAAAATTGCGTTTTATCTGGAAAAATTTGGTTCCAAACTCCGTTGAATCCGGAATGGGCCTTATTTTTTTTATTGAGATTTTCACAATCGATAGAAATAATTTTTTCTTCGGGCTTGGAGTATACATGTTAGGGTACATAAAAGATATATTGAAATCGGGAGGAAATATGTATAAATCGAAAAATAAACGTTAAAAAAATTAAATTGACATTTAATGTTAATTATGATTTTTTTTAATAAAATATTACTACATAAAATTTTCGATTTATCTGGAATTTTGTCACATTAGGACGAGGTTTTACTGTATTATCCGATTGAGTAGACATACGTTGTCAATAATTATAATATTGAATAATGTCAATTTGAAAAACAGAAAATAGCACCCAATTTTATTTTTTTATAAAGTGTGCTTACGGTGTTTTTTATTTACTTTTAACGTCTACAATTAATTTTTTCAAGACAAATGAATTTCTAAATTGTGGTTGCGTGATTTCGCGTATGGGAACCTGAATAAAATAATACACTTCGAACTTTTAAATACCTGAATTTTCTTTATTTTTTCGTATATGGCATTCCATTATGATTTTTTCTCTTTTATTTATTTGCATTCGTATCAGTAGTATAGTAGTATGTTTGTTGCATGATAATTGGTCTAAAATGCCATTGTAGTTTGTTTGATTGGTATTTAATTGTTGTCACGTGTGTATTATTTTATCTGCAGGCACCCTGCAGTGCATTCTGGGAAGACGCGGTAATCCCCGATTGATCGTTGATGGTCACGTTTTTTATAAGAAGAGTGTTTACAAAGGAAAGGCGTTTTGGTATTGTAAAAACAGTAGATCACCGGAAAAATGTCAAGCGGTGTGTTGGACAATGAACGGAAATATTGTCAAATGGCCGTATATGCACACACATCCGGTCATCCCAGACGTTTTTAATCCGGACGAAGACACAGAAGTTCCTATACAAAATTTACAAGAAGTATTATGGCAGACGTCGTATAGTTAAGAAGACTCACTCATTTGTATTTTTTTTTGACTGATTTTGTGATATTATTTTTTATTGAATTGGAGGGACGTCAAATTGTGTCAAACTGTACATAAAGTCTGCTTTAGTTTTAGTTTTGCTGTCTTTTATGTGGTAGAAAAAATTGATATGTAGCCAAAACATCCAGACGTTTGTGAGACTGTTTTGTATTTCTTCTCATATGACAAATTGTAAGTTTTTTTTTTAAATAAAGAGATTTTTCATCGACAGGTGGAGGTTTGATGTTGATTAAAAGTGGGCGTGGTCAGTTGGTACTAATCCATCAAGGTCATATTTACATACATTGTGATACAACGAATAACCGACACATGTGGGTGTGTGTGAAGAAGAAAACTCTCAATTGTGAAGGCTGTCTCACAACATTGAATGGACCTATACTTCTTTCATACAGTGAACACAATCATCCACAATTACAAGATGTTATACAAAGACTGCAAGTACCTAGTTGTAGTGTTTCACCAGAACTGATGTAACACAAAAGCCATATTTTTTTAGTTTTGGACAAAGAATTGTTGTTTATTTATTTTTTGATTACTTATACCAAATATTTTATTTTCAAATGACGATTTATTTTTAGTTTCGAAAAGGCTAGAAGAGATTTTTATTGTTTTGTTGACCAGTCAGAATTATTTATTTATTTATTTAATAAGGAATTAAGTTTTTGTACAAATTTCCGTTAATAAAAAATGGAAATCCGGTCCTGTCTTTTTTTCGGGATTTACGCGTTTCGATGTTGGTATGGTAGAACTTTCCAGAATTTGACGTTTGTAGAATTTGTCATAACCTCACTTGTTTGGAGGCATTTTCAGTGCGATTAAACGGTAAAATGGCTGGAAAAATCGAAGAAGTAAGTTATTGAATGATCAAAACGGATTTAAAATAATTCGTTTTTAGCTCAAAAAAGACATGGCTGAGCTTCAAGCCCTCGAAGCTCAAGCAACTCGACACAAAGTGAAAGACCTTTTGTCGTTAGAAGCGAGAAAAATCTCATCGGAAATCATTAAATTACAAGAACAGTTAAATGCCCCATCGACTGCGACACCAATTAGTGCAAAAAATAATCGTTATCAAGTCAAATTAAACAATTACGGTGAGTCGTCATGTGTTTTTTGTTCGATTTAATTGCCATTTTTTGTGCAGCTTGGGATCAAACATCGAAATTTGTGAAGTTTTATGTTACTCTTCCAAAAGTTCAGACAATTCCACAGGAAAATGTTGTGTGTCACTTCACTAACAAGTCGCTCGAGTTGGAGGTCCGAGATCTTGAAAATAAAGATTATGTCTTCACTATTAATAATCTGCTCAGCGCTATTGATCCACAGGCGAGCAATTGGAAGGTTAAGTCAGGTATTAAACCACTCAAAAATCGTCCAAATTAACCATTTTCGTAAATATGCAGATATGGTTGTTATAAATGCAGCCAAGGTCAAAAGTGACCACTGGTCCCATGTCACTGAACTCGAGAAGAAAGTTGATGATGCACAAAAAGCCAAATTCAAGACAGGTGATAACGTGGATCCCAATGAAGGCATTTTGTCATTAATGAAGAATATGTAAGTGGGTTCAAGTTGGTTGAAGTTTCAACTGATTTGGCTTGTTTTAGGTATGAGACAGGTGATGATGAAATGAAAAGGACAATTGCTAAAGCTTGGACAGAAAGCCAAACGAAATCACCTTTACTCTAACCGGTTTTTATATTTTTTTTATTTATATTTTGGTAATTTTTTTCAAGTATCAAAGTTATGCAACCAAGTATACAGTGAGAAATTTGTTTAATGTCAACGTCTTGGTATTTATTTCGATTTATTAATAATTACAGTGTAACAAATTTGAGTAGAATGGGAGGTGAAGTAACCGTTTTGTGGTCACAATTGAATTTAAATTTTGCTCCCAAAACCGTGACTTGATGCATAGTAACAAGCAAATTAATTTTTTTTTAAGTTTATACAAAGATAAGGTTAAATATATTAGATAAAACAAGGTTCAATTGAAATTTTTTTTCACCCCTTTTTAATAAAATTCTTAATTAGAAATTTATTTCTGTACTCTTCTATTACAAGGTCAATTTTCAACACCAAGACCGTAAACATCCTGTTTAGTGAGAAATTCACTTAAAAACTAAATAGTGGTATGTACAACTGTGACAAATATTCAAAATATGGATAAAAATCTACTTCAATAAAATAACAGATCGTGTCAGTAGTAACGAAAAAGGAAATAAATAAAATTAAGTACACCGTAATACAAGCAGTTTTATCCCTTTCGTCATTTCTAACACATTTTTTTAATTAAATACTTAAATTACTTAGGTACATTACAGTAAAAACCGCGCATTTGTATAAAAACGTGCCATTCATTATAAAACAAATAAATAAATTCGATATTTTTCATTGACAAAGTTCACTACAAATACTTTCATTTCTCGGAGGAGGTGGTACAGAGAGGCCTTGGTTTATGCAAATAAATAACAGCGTTTGTGACATATTTGATGCATTAATAAGACTTGAAAGAAAATAATGAAAAATCAGTTGCACTATTAGGACTCCATTAGGTCAAAGCTAAGCCTGATTACTATAATTTGTGGCGTTGTGAAAAAAAAAAAAAAAATGTCAAAATCAAGCTAGAATTTTTAACGTGCTTCAAGTTTGTAAGTTTTTTTTTCGAAATGAAATTAAAAACGTTTTTGTGGTACGTCTTTTAGAATTAAACGTAAAATGTAAAAATTCAAAATAAAATCTACAAAATAGATCAAGGTCACGAAATATTGAATTGAAGGTTCTTCAATTACTAATAAATAGTAATTAGTAATTAATGGACCTTGGCTTGAAGCTGGAAATTTGCAAATTTGCAAATGAAAGTTCCACTTTTAAACCTAAGAAGCTGTGGCTAAATATAAAAATACTTTGTTAATGATAAAGAATAAAATAATAGTAATAACGGTCTAGAATTTTAAACAGTTGTAATTTTATTCTTACTGTTCCTACGCCTCCAAGTGTTAATTTTTTTCAAATATAAGTAAATATAACTTTGAGTTACTACGGATTTGCCATTTATGCATTTCATGTAAGTAAGAAAACAAAACAAAAATAAATACAAATTAAAAAATCACTTAATTATTATTTGCGATTGTTTCTCGATTTCTTTGTTTTGTAGTTTTTCTTTTTAATACTTCACTTCAAAATAAATCGTAGATGACAAGACCAACAACCTCCGGCGACCTTGACTCCAAAACGAGACTTTTTGCATAATTACATTGCAAATTTGAGCAAATTAATGACACTTTGTCGTTATTCAAGGTAATTTTTTTCGCTTTTAAAGCGTCTTTTCAATCATAAACAATCAGTTTTTATTACAAAAGTGTCAAAAAACAATCTAACATCGTACCTACATCTCACAGCCGTCGTTCGCTCAATTATGGCATCGTGAAACCGGTGATAGTCAAAAAATGGCAACGTTAAAAAAAAATATATAGTTAATCACCGACTTCAGCTGCGTCTTTTACCGATTTAAAGTACGTTGTCTTGGAATAAATAACTAAGAAAAATTGGTATTTTTGGTTTATTATTGACTAGAAAACGGTCTTACGAGAGACTCTTTCAACTCTTTATTAACTTCATGGAATGCTGTGGACATCACGTTTCGTGTTCGTTCCATGAGGTCTTCTAAATCGTCATGTGTTAAATTTTCGGTTGGAATTGGCGGCAATGCCGTAATAATTACTTTACCTACCAGTGAAACACTAGTAATTAAAATTTCCTCCCTCATTAATTACTTACCATGATCGAATCTTTTATTTTTCGAATCTAAGAAATAATACTGACTGAAAACCACCGGTAAAATCGGCACTTTCGACGAAATTGCTGTGTGAAAAGCCCCTTTTTTGAATGAGTGTATTTGACCGGTGTTGCGGCGTGTACCTTCAGGAAATACCCATAACTTGATCTGAAACAATTTTTTTAATTATTAGGTGGATTAATAAGTGAGAGATTCAGTTATCGAAGATGATAAGGCTTTAATTTTTCGATTAATAATCAAAAAACGTAATTAATTCAGAAGCTAATTGACATATTTATGCATGATCAACTAGAAGGTTAACTAGAAATATAGAATTTTCGAGGTTCATAATTTTTTATTTCTTTTACCTAAAAAAAACTGTTGTGGTATGATGCTATATTTAAAATAGGTCTTGCAAATTTTCAAAAATAAAACATTAAAAAGTTATAATTCATAATTAAGTTTGCAATGATTTATGAATTGTATTAAGTTTTATAATAATAGAATTTGAAACGTATTTAGATTTTTAATTGTAAATTAATAAAAACTCAATAAAATCGAAATATTTGCATTAACATGGGCTTATAATTAATTTTAATTTTTTTTAGGAGACTTCAGACTTTTTTTAAATAACGAATGCCCTTCTTTGGACCTATTATTGACGAATTGAAACAGTAATAACATTTTTTGTTGTCTAAATTAAAAATGACATTTTTTTTAAAAGTTTCTTGGTGTATAGTCAATATTTTCAAAAAAAAAGATCTTATCAAATTAAGAAGAGTTTTTTTGTTTTTAGTATAATAAGAGTATAATAAATAAAAAGAAAAAGTCAAAATTTTATAGAAATGATTGGTGATTCTAAAAAAACTCAAATTTTGTTCTAGCAAAATACAAAAATAAAATTGACACGTTGAAAAAAAACCGCAACATTGACCAAAAAATCAGGTAACTTAAAATGAATAAAATACTTTTGGACTTTGAAAGGACAATGACTCACAGATATTAGACAGGTGTCCTCTAATAACAAAACCCAAGTAATCAAAGTTCACCAAATAATTACTAAAGGACCCCAGAAAATCAATATTTTGCCCCTAGACTGACCTTATCTTTCTTAATCTGTTTTGCAGCGTCATTTATCAACTCTCTAGCCTTATCACTCTTCATCCTGGGTATAAAAATCAACCCACAAAGCCACGTTGCTAGTCCAAACGGCCATGCATAAAAAAGCTCCTTTTTCGCAATAACTGTGCACTTATCTACGACCGGCCACACTTCGAACATCCCTGTAACAGCCCCCTTGCATCCCTTGTCTCTTACCACAAAAAACTACCTAAAATATCTATCGAACTTTGATGATTGGCGACGATAACACACGAATGGTCCTTCTCCAAGTGCTCTCGCCCCCGGATAATCCACCTGAGCCCCAAAAGAGTGGAAATGTGGTGGCAGAGCGCCGACAACGTCCTGGAAACACACCTCAAAAACTCCAAAAAATACAAAAAATTGGGACTTACAGCAAATTTCGCACATTTTTCGGCCTGAGTGCAAACACAGGGATGAGGATTACGGAGTTTATCATCACGATTGCGTAATAAAGCGTAAATTTTAAGTTGTATCTGAATACATGACTAGATTTATAGAAAAAGAACAGTATTAGTAGAGAGAGGGCGAGGGGAAGGAGGGTTCCAGTGTAAGACATGTTCGGGGGCGAAGCACCACACTGACTCGACACGAGACAAACTAAAACATGGCTAAAATAAGCAAAGCAATTTTTTGGCAATTTATAAACAATTGAACTTGAACTTTACGCGGCACTTGACAGCTTTGGAGTGGGGGGACCTGTGGTGGGGGGGGCACTGTTCAGAAATATGAATATGAATTTTGAATAGTTTGGTGCTGTGCATTTTCACAGCTTTACAAAAAAAAAACTAATTATAACTTATTTGTTAATAATCTATTGGCAACACTGAACTGTAGGTAATCCTTCTAATTTGTTATATCAGAATGTTTCAGGTGACGGTTATACGTTATATTATCACATGAATGACAATTGACGTTTGAATTTGAAAGTCAGGTTGCCAAACTAAAATTTTAAATTTGACACCAACTTGGGGTTAAAAATGACAATCATTTACAGTCCCCTGGTATAAATTTCATACATCAAATTATTTCATAAGATGCTTATTTCTATTTATATAGAAGGGTGCGTATCTACAATCCCCATTAGATAAAACAACGATCAATTGAAATTTTTATTCACCCACTTTAACAAAATCCTTAATAATACAGGGTGTTTACGGTTCAAATTGAAATTAGATGATATTCACGGTAGAAGAACCTAATACGCTATATAAAACAAATATTTACTTTATGAAAGGAAATTATTAATTTTATATTATTTGTTTGAGAACTGCTGCTTCGGCTGCAACAATGGCTATAAATATATTACCTTGTGTTTCACCGTGAATCATAATCACGACAACCAAATTATTGTTTTAATATTTCTTCATAAATTTGGAAAAAGATTAAGAAAAACGAATCAAACTTATTGGAGACCATTTCGCTGGAAGTGATTAAACAAAATTTTGCTAAAAACTAAGCAAAAGCAAAGCAAATGATGACAGTGTCAAATCTATTAAGTGACTTTTCTCGTTCATTGTCATGGATATTTTTAATTTGTTATAGAATTTTATCTGAACAAGGAAATAATTCCAGTGACCCTCAAACAACAAATAACATTCTTAAATAACAATTGTGTGAGTTTTTTTCTCGGTTACAGTATTTCTGTACTCTTCTACTACTTACTAGATCAATTTTCAACTCCAAGACCGAAAACACCCTGTACAAAGAGAAATTCACTTAAAAACTAAATAGTGGTACAACTGTGACAAATATACAAAACAATCGATAAAAATCTACTTCAATAAAGTAATAAATCGTGTCAGAAGTGACGAAAAAGGAAATAAATAAAATTAAGTACACCATAATAAAAGCAGTTTTACCCCTTTCGTCATTTCTAACACATTTTCTTTGACTAAATACTTAAATTATTTAGGTACATTACTGTAAAACCGTGCATTTATATAAAAACATGACAATTATTATAAAACAAATAAATAAATTCGATATTTTTCACAGAAAAGACGCTTTAAAAAGTTTACTACAAATACTTTCATTTCTCGGAGGAGGTGATACAGAGAGGCCTTGGTTTATGCAAATAAATAACAGCGTTTGTGACATATTTGAGGCATTAATAAGACTTGAAAGAGAATAATAAAAAATCAATTGCGCTATTGGAACTTATTAGGTCAAAACTAGCCTGATTACTATAATTTGTGGCGTTGTGGAAAAAATGTCAAAGTCAAGCAAGAATCTTTAATGTACTTCCAGTTTATTTGTAAGTTAAAAAAATTACTTTTTTTCTTTCAAAATTGAATCAAAAATGTATCTTTTTGAATTAAACGTTTCGTAAAACGTAAAAACTCAAAATAAAATCTACAAAATAGATCAAGATCACGAAATTTTGAACCAAGGGTCTTCAATTACTAATAAATAGTAATTAACGGACCTTGGTTTCAAGCTACAAATTTGCAGGAAAGATAAACGAAACTTCCACTTTAAACCTAAGAAGCTGTGGCTAAATATAAAAATACTTTGTTAATAATAAAAAAAATAATAATAATGGTCTAAAATTCTAGATATGTAGTTGTAATTTTATTCCTACTGTTCCTACGCCCCCAAGTGTTAATTTTTTCAAATATAGTAAAATATATGACTGAGTTACTACAGATTTGCCAATTATGCATTTCATGTAAGTAAGAAAACAAAAAAAAAATTAAATACAAATTAAAAAAATCACTTAATTATTATTCGCGATTTTTTTGCTTTACGATTTCTTTGTTTTGTGGTTTTTCTTTTTAATACTTCACATTTGTTAATATTCCTCAATTTGAACGAAAAAATATGAATAAAAAAATAAATCCTAGATGACAAGACCAACAACTTCCGGCGACCTTGACTCCAAAACCGCAAAACTCGAGACTTTTTGCATAATTACGTTCCAAATTTGAGTAAATTAATAACACTGTCGTTATTCAAAGTTTTTTTTTTCGGTTTTAAAGCGTCTTTTCAATCATAAAAAATCATGTTTTATTGCAAAAGTGCCAAAAAATAATCTAACATCGTACCTACATCTCACAGCCTTCGTTCGCTCAATTATGGGCATTGTGAAACCGGTGATAGTCAAAAAATGGCAACGTTAAAAAATTAAAATAAAATATAGTTAATCACCGACTTCAGCTGCGTCTTTTACCGATTTAAAGTACGTTGTCTTGGAATAAATAACTAAGAAAAATTGCTATTTTTGGTTTATTATTGACTAGAAAACGGTCTTACGAGAGACTCTTTCAACTCTTTATTAACTTCATGGAATGCTGTGGACATCACGTTTCGTGTTCGTTCCATGAGGTCTTCTAAATCGTCATGTGTTAAATTTTCGGTTGGAATTGGCGGCAATGCCGTAATAATTACTTTACCTACCAATGAAACACTAGTAATTAAAATTTCCTCCCTCATTAACTTACTTACCATGATCGAATCTTTTATTTTCCTTATCTAGGAAATAATACTGACTGAAAACCACCGGTAAAATCGGCAATTTCGACGAGATTGCTATGTGAAAAGCCCCTTTTTTGAACGGGTGTATTTGACCAGTGTTGCGACGTGTGCCTTCAGGAAATACCCATAATTTGATCTGGAATAAATTTTTTAAATTATTTTATTGAGTGGGATAGTATGTTTGCATACAGTTATCGGAGTCGATAAGGCTTGAAAATTAGAAAAACTTGTTTGTTATGATGACAGTTGTCCAACATGCTTTATTATTATCATTATAGACCATATATTGATAAAATTGTGATAAATGAGTGAATAAAACAATGTATGACAACATTGAAGCATTTTATGAAAAACAATCAATTCATATTTCACTTACATGTTTTAATATACTACTCCACTCGCTGCGCTCGTTCCGTTCATTCTCTTGTTCGTTTAATAATGAAACTATAATTTATTCATTTAATTTTATGTATTTCATGACATTTAGAACAATTTGTTAAGCATCTTATGCAGGGTGTTCCACTTAAGATTTTCGGGTGTTATTTGGCAACGGATTTATTAGAAATTTAAAATGTAGACAACTTTGAAAGTGGAGATTTAATTAGTATTAATAAAATTAATTAATTTAAGAAAATAATTTATTCAGGTGAATCGCTTGTAAACTACTCTTGTAAGCCTATTTTCCATCACTTTTAAAATTAAAATAAGCAGAAAAATTAGCGTAATTTAAAAAAATATATACTTTCCACGTGTTTTGTCTTATGTTTTTAATTCCTTTGAATGTATTGATTTTCTTTCGTTTTTTTGTAAGAAGGCTTCCTACATCCACGTGGCTGAATAGTGATTAGAAGGCTTGACGTTAAGACTTGTAGTCAGTTAGATTAGTGTCTCATTCTGAAATACTACTGTTGACAATATTTTTATTTTAGTATCTAAAATAGAATAGCAATTATTTCTCAATTCTTTCTTTTCAACTAAAAAACCCGATTACATTAATTAACGAAATAAATTATTCAGTTTTATTACAAAACCAATTACATTGAAAGGTTACAAAATTGATTTAACAACTCTTAGGAATACAATTGATTTGTTGAAAAGCGTGATATGACACCATTACTTATTTTCAAAGATAAGATGGCCTAAAATTGTAACAATGTTACCACAAATATTTGTTTTATGGAGAAACTAACATGTCTTTGCTAAACAAACACGTGATTTTTTTTTCAAATAAATATTATTTGCCTTTATTTCTCGGTTGTTTAAATATCACGCAAAAACGCCACAGTAATTGATGTAAATTACATTCGCTTGTAAAATAAAATAGAAAATTCAATTCCTATTTATCTTATCACAAAAAAAAAATTATGAAGTACGTTTACTACCGTTAACAACTTAATAGCCTTGCCAATGTGAAAATGGTAAAATATTTTCAATTATCGGTGGGTAAAGTTTGAATTTGAATTTCTAATTATATCAGGTGAATACAAAGTATGGAACCAAAGGTTTTTTGTTTAAACTATTAATTTTTTGGAAAAACTAATTGATGAGAGATACAAAAAAAAAGTGATGTTTCATCAAGAATAAAATTTTTCGAAATATTCTTGTTTTTGAGTTCTACAAAAAAAAATATTTTTTTAAATGCCAACCCACTATAAAACCATTTTCCTCATAAAAGTTATGATCTAAGGATTACAATATCATATCTACTTTATATTTCATTTTTTCAAGATTTTTTTTACATAAATTGCAATTTTGACAAAAAATCGCATAACTCAAAAACAAAACAAAATTTCGTTCTCAAAATACGATCACATTTTTTTCTATTACTTTAATTTATTTCAATAATTATTTTTTGGAGGCAAATGATTAGAGAACAATTCAATTCAGTAACATGAATTCATGTTCCAATTTCAACTTCAACTTCCTATTAAATACAGATTAAAGAAAAAATTTAATTCTAATCTTTCATCTCGTCAATTTTATTATAAATAATAAGATGAATAGATTGATAAAAAAACCTTTAATTAAATTTCTGGCCCGTGATTCTGAAATTAAGTTGGCAACTTGGAATAATGTCAATTATCATGTCTTCTGTCTATATCACTCAAAGTAGCCAACTTAATTCAAAACCACAAGCCGCTTTAATCCATAATTTAAAAATAAAAAACGATCAAAGTGGCCCGTGATTCTGATATTAACTTGGCAACTTGAATAATACAGAGGCAGAAGATATAAGAAGTGCCAATTTCCATATCTTCTGTCTCTAGATCACTCAAAGTTGCCAACTTAATTTAAAATCACAGGTCACTCTGATCCATAATTTGAAAATAAAAAATCTTCAACATTTTTCCAATTTCGACATCGATTCAAAAAATGTAATTAAGTTTATGACTTCAATTTTTGTTAAAATAAAAAATGACAATTTTTTCTACAGTGTCTTAATCTTAATAATCTTATAAAATACCAAAAATAGAGTTCTGAGACAACACAATTGTCCTATATTTTCTTATTCCTAAATAATTAATCAAGTTGAATTGAATAATCGATAAAAAACAAATAGGTGTCAAAAATCGCACCACTAATTAAAAATCAGATGTCGTCCTACGCCAAAAACAAATTTAGCTCACTGAAAAGTGTTTATTTTTGGACTTTGAAAGAAACAAAACAAAATCCAAGTGATCAAGGATCACTATATAATTAATAAAGGACCCCAGAAAATCAATATTTCGCTTCAAGACTCACCTTATCTTTCTTAATCTCTTCTGCAGCGTCATTCATTAACACCCTGGCCTTATCACTGTTCATTCTCGGTATAAAAATCAACCCACAAAGCCACGCAGCTAGTCCAAAAGGCCATGCATAAAAAAGCTCCTTTTTCGCAATAACTGTGCACTTATCCATGACCGGCCACACATCGAACATCCCTGTAACAGCCCCCTTACAACCCTTGTCTCTTACCACAAAAAACTACCTAAAATATCTATCGAACTTTGATGATTGGCGACGATAATACACGACTGGTCCTTCTCCAAGTGCTCTCGCCCCCGTATAATCCATCTGAGCCCCAGAAGGGTGGAAATGTGGTGGCAGATAGCCGACGCCGTGCTGGAAACACATCTCAAAGACTGCAAAAAAAAAACAGAAAATTGGGACTTACAGCAAGTTTCGCACGTTTTTCGCCTTGAATACAAACACAGGGATGAGGAATACGGAATTTATCATCACGAATGTGTAGTAAAGCATGAATTTTAGGTGGTATCTGAATACATGACTAGATTCGTACAAAAAGGGCAGTATTAGGATACACACGGCGAGGAGGATTTCACTGTAAGACGCGTACATGTTCGGGGGCGAAGCACCACACTGACCCGATGCGAGACACTAAAACATTACCACAAATGGGTAAATCGATTTTTTTCCAACTTATAAACAACAATTCAAGTCGAACTTTACGCGGCACTTGACAGGCTGTCAATTAATAACATAGTGGAGGGGGTATTGCCAGTTGGAGTACGTTCACAAACGATACTCAGTGCAAAGTTAAAGCAATTATTTTTTTAAATAAAACAATTATTTAGCCAAATACAATTATAAATGTATGCTATTTACATTTAGTGCTCAATAATCATTATCAAAAAAAAATTTAATGGGTAAAAATAATAGTTTTGTAGACAATTTTTGTTTTATGACTTAGTATTATATTACCCTTTTATAGCTTTAAAAGCAAATGAAGCTCAATTAACATAAATGCCTGATAAAATGTAATCCATTTTTATTATATGCGTGTGGATCAATTAATAATTTGAAAGACGCACTTATAGCTATCTCTTTTCTCTTTTAAACAGATTCGTTACTCTGTCGCTATTTATCTCACTTTAACAAATACAGGGCCAGTGACCTACGTCAAAAGTGTAGCGTAATTCAAGCCTTATAAAACCAATGCCAGGGAGAAACTTTAATTTTTGACTTTAGTACCACTATGTCACAAACAGACGGGGGTCATGTCGTGTTCTTGATTCATACTTTCCTTATCAACATGTAATAAAAAATAGACTATGTAAATTTTTGGTTTAGCAATCAAAACTAAAACAAAAACAATGTAAAATTACACTTATTACGTGATTAATTATTATTTTAATTTTTTATTAAAAAAACGTTAGATAAATGATGTTGGCAACCAGTAATACATTGACGAATTCTGAACGTGGCCTTTTATCCAGCAACCCACACCGTTCTTACATGTGCGTCTCCCCAAAACAACAATTCGGTAGCATGTTTAATTATTAAATAATTATTAAACCCATCATGTCTCAGGTACCCCATTTTCGCTCAATTTCGCCCCCCAAACACCCACCATTCATAAATCAAGTCGCTTCCTGTCATTATTGTCACCTGCTATCTGTCAATCAGTGAAAAATTTCAAACAACTCGGAAATATTTCAGATGGTGAAATAAGCCCCCGACATGTCTCGATTTGAGACAACTTTGCGGCCGCAGCCCCGCCTCGACCTCAAGTGGCTGAAAACGGACCTGCAGAGTGTGCTCACGGGGGACAGTTTGGTGAATTGTTGGAACAGTCTGATTGCTGATGGAGAGGTCACAGGGGCCTTCTCGGACGGATTGTTGAACAGTGCGGGGGTGACGGCCCGGAAAGGGGAGTTTGGGAAGTATTACTGCAACCAGAAAGTGTTGACTTGTACTTGTTGTGATGGGATTTGTGGGCCTTCGACCGGGTGCAATTGCCCCCCTTGCCAGAGACTCGACGCTGAAGACACGACTGAGAAAGACAGGGCGGAGCCTTTGCCCAGCACGGAGGCCCTCCTGGGGCAATGGGCCTGGATGCCGCAGCCAAGTAAGCGATTTGTGGGGTTTTAACCATGTTTGAACCGGTTTTTTAGCCCCCGAACAACTCTCCCGGTTTATTTTAAGTCTGAACAATGAACAGAAAGTCCTATGTGCCGACGCTGCAAGTTCTACACTCTCAGCAACGAGGCTTTATTACCGACTTGTCATTCTTAAACGCTATTTCATTGCCTTGAATAGGGTGCCCCATTCGGTGGATTTCGAACATGGCTTGATTACTAGTAGAAAAACTAACACGGAATTGTTACAAACTCGAAACTTGATAAAGTTGACCAAAATTAAAGCTTGGAATTTAGACCCGGCGATTGCTTTGGCCAGAGTTGGCTCTAGGGCTGCTCTAAATTTTGCTTTTGCGTTTTTAAGGAAAGCTTGGAGATTGGGTAATGGCGATTTTGGGGGTTTCACATTTGTATATTTTGGTTTTTGTAGGGGAAGATGTAGATTTGTGCAGTGAATTGTTAACGGAGTCTCTGGAAGCTTTGCAAATGTTGCCAGTTGCCACTCTTTTTCATCAAAGTGACGTCTCGCCAGTGTGGCTGGAAGTGGTGGAAAGGTCGTCGAAATTTTTGAGACAGGTTATAACCGGGTAAGGAATTTTTGCGGCGCCAATGCTTGACATTGTATAATAATGACCGATAAAGTTTATTTAACATTTTATCGCTGATTTATTGAGTAATAATTTTTTTATTTTTGTTTTTGAATGAAATACTCTGTTTACAGATTGGTTAGTTTTGAAACAAAGGTCTACATGATCAAAGTTATACAGGGTGTCTCATCAAGTTGGTAAAGTCTATATTGATTTTATTCCTATTTAAATTTTTTGCAAATTCAATACACTAAGAAAATGTATATTCAAAATTGGTCTCTCTTTTAAGCAGTAATATTTTTTTGTAATTGTTTTATTTTTTGTGTAATATACAGGGTGATTCACGAGGAATAATGAGCCTGACCAAATTCTCGATGCAACCAACATTACATTTGTCGCAAAACAACTTGCGAAAAGTAATGGTGGTTGCATCGAGAATTTGGTCAGGCTTATTATTCCTCGTGAATCACCTTGTATTTTTAAAAAGAATAATTATGTTTTCGTCAAAAAAACAACTTTATTTAAGAAAGCACAAGTTTGTATTGTAACTTATTTTGGGACGCTTTGTATAGTTGAAAATAATTTCGGGCACTATATTAAATAGTGTTTATCAGCTTTTTATATATATATTTTTTAATTTTACTATCTAAAGGTCAATAATGGACTTTACTAACTCACTGGGACACTGTATAGTGTCACACTTTATAGTGAAAATGTTCTTTTTATGTTTATAACGATTTTAAAAAATCGGAATTTATAAATTCGTAAAACTAGTTTTTTAATTGCAAATCATCTGAATTTGTGTCAATGTAAAGGACAAATTTTGATTTATATACAGGTGTCCGGAAAGTCACGCACCTCCGTTATACTGTGTCATCGGGCGGTGCCCTAGACAACAAGAAAAATGTTTAAAAAAATCTACAAAAATTTCGCAGTTATGAGATTTTAAATTATGCATTTTGACTATTTATTTCTGTCGGAAAAATAATTAAAAAAATAATAATAAGTTTTTTTGCTACAGACTATTAGAAGAGGAATTTGTGGCTTTCATTGACAAAATTCTTGTACCTTTAGCGAATAATTATTAAAAAAAAACATGCAAAATCATCAGTATTATTAAATAGATATAAAAAAATGTCAAATGTCAAAAAATAAATGTCATAGATAGTATTTTTAAAACATTTTTTTAGTATTATCAAAATTTCAGATTATTGATTGTCTATGATATCATTCTTAGTTGTTGACTAAGACAACATTTTTGTTTATTTTATTTTGAATATGAGCGGATTATCTAAAATTTATTTTTACGAAAATAATTATAAAAAGTTTAATGAGACTAACGTCATCTGTTGGCGTGAGTCACGTGATCAAAAATACAAATTTATGATTGGTGTTTGTTTTTACCGCCCTCAATTTGAATTGAATTGAATGAAATTAGTTTTTGCGAATCAGTATGGAGAATATGATTTAAATTATCAATTTTTAGATGTTTTATTAATTAATTTATAAACAATACCGGGTGTGCTGAAGAATTGATAAAGAAAACCGCGTTTTTCTCAACACTTTTAAAAGATGTATCAAAAAATTTTAAACTGTAAAAAAATTGACCTAAGAAACAAAATCCCGAAATCTTTTGATATTTTTTTGGAACATCTCTGTATATTTATATTTTGTCTAAATGTTTTGAAAATTTTGTTATTTAAAGCTGACCCTATTGGTCATGTGTGCACTTCGTTAAAAAAAAAAAAAAATTACGTTTAATATTTTTAGGATTTATTTGTATAAATTTATGTGCATAAATGCTATTTAATTAAATTTTTTGGTTAGTACATATATTTTTTTATTTTGATCGTTTGTGACGCTCTAAAGTACAGTTTTTTATAAATTTTATTTTTTCAGCGATATTTCCGGAAGTCGCCAAAATTTTGTCATACCTTTGGAAGACCAACATACCTCCTTGAATCTTCTTATGGAATTGGCGATACAAAAAGGAACACTCAGTAGCATACTGGACATTGTGCTCCTACTTCTCAACTTATGGGACAAACAAACTAACCTTCACGATAACCGGTAAAAAAAAAACAATTTAAAACTACCAACTTAATAAAAATAATTTTAGAAGTAATGTACAAATGGCGAGTGCCCCCTTATTACCGTTCCTGAAACGCTTCTCGCAAATTCCTCATGCTTTGCCCGAATTTTGCGAAAAGGACTCAAACGAGGAGAATCTCAGCAGTACTCAAACTTACCTTAGTTTCATCGAATTGCCAGAAGATGACTCTGTCGAAATTGATCTTAAACAAGCCGCTAGCTTTATTATGGCTCATCTTGATAGATTAGCCAAGCCACATATACCCCCATTGTCTTTCAATAAGGTTTGCCAATTGAATTTTGTCTTGTTGTCATAATTTTTGATTAATATTTTAGTCAAATTTTTATTATAATGGTCAACGTGTCTTTGGATGGGGTTGGTTTTCGTGGATATTCGGTGTGGGACCACAAAATTGTGACACTTTATCAGAATTGACCATCAAACAGATTTGTTGTTCGGATCGAACTATTCTAATTTTGACACAGATGGGGAAAGTGTATTTTATGTATTATTCGTCTGATACACAGTGTCCCCAAGAAATGACAGTTTTTGAAGATAAGGAAGTGATAAAAATTGCCACACATCCGGAAGGAAAACATTATTTAGCATTGACCAAAGATTATGAAGTGTATTCGTGGGGAAATGGCGACGGGGGCCGATTAGGTAATACAGATTCCTGTAATACAGTTTCCTGTAATTTTGATTTAGGTCACGGTGATACTACAACCAAAGAAGAGCCAACTTTAATTCAAGCTCTGAAAGGTAAAGATATCATTGATATAGAATGTGGGGGCACTTATAGTGCCGCTATTTCCGCAAATGGCGCTCTTTATACATGGGGTCGGGGGAATTACGGCCGTCTTGGTCACGGCACCGCCGAAGACTGTCTCACCCCCACAATGATTTCTGCACTTTCCGACGAACACATCATCAAAGTGGCTTGTGGTTCATTCTACGCCCACACACTTTGTATCACCTTACAGGGTAAAGTCTATAGTTGGGGTGACGGCGATTATGGTAAACTCGGACGTGGGGGCTCCGATGGTTCAAAACTCCCACGTCTCGTCGAAAAACTCCAAAACGTGAAAATTGTACAAGTATGTTGTGGGGCACAGTTTAGTGTTGCTCTATCGGAAGAAGGTCACGTGTATACGTGGGGTAAAGGTGAGGGATGGAAATTGGGCCATCCGACTGAAGAAAGTGTAAGATTTCCTGAATTGGTGGAAGTTTTAAAAGATAAAAGAGTAGTAGGGGTGAGTTTGGGGGTGAGTCACGTGTTGGCATTGACTGATCAAGGAGAGGTTTATGGATGGGGGAAGAACGAAAATAAGCAAATTTGTGATAGTTCGGAATTGTTCGTGCAACAACCGAGATTGATCGAAGCGTTAAAAGGACAGAAAGTAGTGGGGGTGTGTTGTGGACCTGCACAGAGCTTTGCATGGACTGATGATAATGAGAGGACACCGAAGACGGCTGTGCCTTTTGTCATTGACTTGGGGGAGCAGACGTTTAAGTGAGTAATCCGAGATGCTTAGCATCGAGGGAAGTAATAAATGCTAAGCTATAAAATTATTTTTTGTTACAGATTTTAATATTGTTGTTTATTTGTTAGATACGAGTAGAAGTAGTATAACTTGATCTTAGAAATGGTTACTATGGTACTATTATTTGATTTAGTTTTTTTTTGATCACTCTATATAATAATGGTCAGTTGGAGATTTATTTATCGTGAAAAAATTAATATACCACTAAACTTTTTCAATTTTTTTTATATACGTTACACACACAATTTGTTAAAAACACTAGTGGCACATGAAAATAATGCAATAATTACACTTCACTACTTTTAAATACAAAAAAAAGAAAAATGCCAAGAAAAAAAGATACCAGGAACAAAAAATTCTGTTTTTTTTATTTTTTGTCTTATTACAAAACATCCTATACCAGGTGAATAAAAAGTATGGAAAAATAAAAAGTATGCTTAAACTATATTTATTTTTTGAAAAAACTAATTGATGAGTGATAAAGTACTATAAAAATGTGATGATTTAACAAGAATAAAATTTTTCGAAATTTTCTTTTGTTTTTGAGTTCTACAAAAAAATTAATTTTTTAAATGGCAATCCACTATAAAATCATTTTTCTCATAAAAGCTATATTCTAAGGATTACAACTATCTGCTTTATATTTAATTTTTTCAAAAAAAAAAATTTCACATAAATTGCAATTTTGACAAAAAAAACTCGCGTAACTCAAAAACAAAACAAAATTTCGTTCTCAAAATACGATCACATTTTTTATATTACTCTAATTTATATTAATTATTATTTTCTGGAGGCAAATGATCAAAAATAAAACAGCTTGGTTCCATACTTTATATTCACCCTGTATGTTTAACGTTATTTGTAGGTTTTATTGACAAAATTTTTATACTATTACTGAATAATTATGAAAAAGCATACAAGATCATCGGTAACAATAGACATAAAAAAATGGCAAATGTCAAAAATTTTTGACAGAATTTTTCAAACATTTTTTTAATGTTCCTGATTCAACTAAATTGAAACATTTTAAATTTTTTATATATTTTTTTATGAATTTACCAATGAGAGGAAACGTTGCATTATACAAGTGATTTTTTTTGAAACTCGTGCTTTTGACACTCGCTTTAGAAACACACTAGTCACAAATAATGAAAAACTTTGCTTTACTTGTATAATAAACTACTATTTTTCAATTAGTAGTGAAAAAAAAAATGTTTATTTGTCAATACAGATTTCTTTTTTTTTTTTTTCAGACTAATTGAAAACCTCCTCGAAGTCGTAATAACCAACACAATAGCTCAAGACAAAGAATGCATCGCTGTTTCCGCCCTAAATCTTCTCCACCTTCAGGTAGGCATTTATTTTTGTTTTTGTGACACCATCAATGACTCCATTATCTTCATTTTGACACTTTTTGTTCTTCCATTATCAAGTCTCACTTTTCCGATTTTTTTCCTCTGTTGCAACCACAACTGCATTGTTGTAATCATTTCGGCGCGTCTCAATTGTTTTAACCAGAAATTTCTTGTCATTTTATTAAAAACGATAAAGTAGAGGAAAATTACTAAACCTTGAAGTGAGGCAGAAATACAAAAGAAATAATCTAAAGCAATGAGTTGGGTAATACGTGCTGAAACCCCAAACACCCAGTATAAACCCATGAGGAAGAAAAGTAAAATGATGAGACGTAAATTGAGCCAGGAGATGTTGTCTCTTAACCGGTTTGGGCTATTAGCCCGGTAGCAAGTTATATTAACTATAATTGTCATAAAAATGACGATATTTACGGTTAAAGTGAACGAAACTGGGATATAAACACCGTAAAAGAGCGGTTTATTGCTCAAATAACAGAAATTGTCTTGCAAATAGTACGATTCGCTGATATTTAAAACGGTTATAACCGGAACTATTGGTAAAATCCATGCCACAATTGACGCTTTTATAACAAAGTAATTGTGTACGACATAAAACACCTCAACATATCTCAAATATTGTAAATAGCCAATGATGAGCATCCATGTGAATTGTGAACAAACCGAATAGTGCAATAACGCCCCAATTGTCACACAAGTGTTAATTTGGGTGTAACTATTAATCCCACTACTCACCCCTAAGAAAATATTTTGTGCCAAATTTGTCAAAACAAAATTTAGTAAAATTTTAGTGCCTGATTGTTCGCGCCATTGTTTGTATATTATTGCGGTTACGATAACCGCAAAACTACCCAAAGCCGAGAGGGCGCAACCTGTCGCTGTAACAATACTCAAAATGACGTCATCCTCATGCCCTACTAAAATCCCAAAAGGGTTCATTCGGGCAAACTTACATTGACACATTTCACCCAAAGGGCAAGTTGGATCGTCTTTTTCATGCGTCCATGAACCTCTAAGGTTGTACCAGAGTTGATTACGACCGTACGACCAACGGTTACACTTAAGTTCGGCCCTGTATTTACGAAATGGTCGTATCATTACGACCGGTTTTTCCACCCATGAATCAACACCACTTGGACTTAGGTAAATACTAGTTAAGTAACCGGTGGTTGTGTTAGTAGGGGCTTGGTTGAAGAGCGAATCGATAAGGTAAGCGGTTATAACCAGTTTTGCGTTTTTATTCCTGATTATAGTTTCCTTCGTAATGTAGGCACTGAGTTTCAAGTTGGTATTATTGTAGTCAGGAGTTGAATTTCGAATTGGTGTGATTTCAAGTCCGGTTTTGGTTTCGTAAAAGGCAGCACCGGTTATACCGCTTGATATATTACTAATTTGTGTGTAGATATTCCCCGATGTTAGACTTACATACTCACCGGTTAGGTTATAACCGCCGATGATTGTATCAAGACTGTATAGGATCATGTCAGTTGAGTTGAGTATAGTTTGGGCTTCATGTAACACGTCACGTGGTACATTCATGATTCTACTAGCCGTTTCAATGACATTTGTTACATTAAGTTGGGATGAAAAAGTGACATTTTCGAAAATTTTCGCCATAAAATGGGCATCGATTACTATTGGTTTGTTACTCTCCAATAGTATTTCATTCAATTGGTTGATTTTTATACTTGAGTTGTGGTCAGAATATGTGAGGTTGTGAAGTCGTATCGTGTTTTTTGAACCAAATAATTCACCACTATTGTTGACACAAGTTCCTTGAACGGCCCCCCAGTATGTACCATAAAGGTACTCGCCGAGGCAAGTTCGAGTTACCGGTTTTGTGTTGTTTTGGAGGCACAGTTCATTTGGGATTGTGGTTGATCCTAGAAGGGTTTTCTCCCATGTGAGGGTTATACCATTGAAGGTGGTGTCAGGGAGGCAATAACTGGGTGATAGAGAGATGCTGGAATTTGATTGGTTGAAAATTTCGGTTACTTGGTCTAGAACCTCCATCATGGTGTTATTGGTTCCATTGAAGTACAGTCGATAACCGATGACAGTTTCATCGTCTTTTCGCTTATATAAGTTTAGAAATTTGATTTTTTGAATTAGGTTTGTATCGTTGATGACATTCTCGATATATTCTTGTGTTTCTTCGTGTATGGTCAAGGGGTAAGTTCTTTGGGTTTCATTGATTGTGATATTCATTGTGAAGGATTCGCTATGTTGGGGGCCTTCAGCTATGATTTTTTTGCTTTTTACGAGTGTTACATCTTTGGAAAATAAGTTGAATTGAAATCCTTGACACCAATAGTGACCTATTGAATCCATTGCAGGATTTAAAAGGTAGTTAACCGATTTATATTCTGACATATTTAAAAAATCAAAATCGTATCTGTAAGTGATATCATGAGTGGTATGATCAGCATCTGTGAAACAATACACAATCGCCTCAGTACTACGATTGATCGGAAGTAGTCTTAAATACCATTTAATGTCAATTGAAATTCGTTTAGTGCGATAATTGAAACTTAACTGAATTTTGGGCTCTTTATATGCCTTAAAGTTGGTCTCACAGTCGTTACAAGTCGCATTTTGGTCCGTCCAATTGTAATAATGACAGTTAAATTCGCAAAAATGTCGTACTTTTGTGTTTCTACAATGACAGTTATTTGTATTTTTGTTACTTTGTCCTTTTGTACAAATTTTATCGTATAGTGTGCAGTAGTTTGTTCGACTTGAGTCGAGCGTTTCGTAGGCACATAATTGGTCATAATTGTTGTCATTGGTTAGAAAATATGTAAATGTTTCATTGTGTCTGGCTATAACATAATCGGTCATGTTTTCGGTTATATTTTCAAATTGTTGGGTGAATAGTTTGCCATAGTTGCCACGTTTTTCTTTCCAGATGTAGTAATCCATGATTGTGTTTTTCTCGATTTGAAGTTTGGTTGTGTTTAGGGATTTGATTAAGTTGGAGGAGGGGTCAAATGGGAGGGGCATTGGATAAGGGCAGGTTACGTTGAGGACGTAGCAAATGGTTGTGTTTGTGCTTGTGTCGTAGGTGAAGCCGGGTGGGCAGAATGTCTGGAAATAATAATTTTTATTGATAAGATAACAATAAAGTCCTATATCTGGGTCTAGTAATTTGTGCAAGCCCCGCCCACTGTATTTTCTCGGCTTCTTTTGGTATACATATTCTCGAAATTGATAATTTTTACAAAAAGTAAATAAAAATAAAAATTTGGCTCTATTTTTTCATATGAAGCTTCAATAAAGTAATGAAAAAATATGTAGGTAGTCAAACGATGAGGAAACACAAAAAAATTACTGAAAAAGAAAAGAAAAATACCGTTTTAGCGCTTGAAAAAGTAATTAAAAAAATATATAGAAAATGAAACAATAAAAAAACAAATGAGAAAATACAATAAAAAAAATAAGAAAAAAAATACAAGGTGTTAAAAAAGATTCTAAAATATTTAAGGAGGTAATAGTGAAAATTTTTAGAATTGTACTACTTTTTTGTTTGAACAGATTGCAAATAAATGTTTCAAAAAACGAATAATTTTTGATATCTCCGAAACCGTTACTTTGCCGACCCATGTTTATTAAGACTTTTTTGTTTGTTTTGGTCCATACTGTTACCTCCTAAAATATTTTATAATCTTTTATTAACACCCTGTATATTCAAAACTTAAAAATGAAATTTGAAAATATATTCATTTTTTTACCACTACCTATTATTTTGTAATTTTTGTAGAAGAATTAATTGGAAAAAAATTACAAGTGTTTGAAATTTATTTCATTTTGCGCACTTTGTAAGAATTAACTTATTAAACGTATATTAATAATTCTTTTGTTTGTTTTTTTTCGCTTACCTCGTTAGTATCATCAAAGTAATCAAGAAAAATGTCCTGTTCACTCATTTCATCATGTCCGATATTAATTGATAACAAGGCAGCAATCAAAAAAATTCTTTTATTCTAAAACCAAAACAATATAAACCAAATCTGCAGTTTTTCTCAAAAAAAATACCATTGTGTAATTTTTTGTTCATATTATTCAAAGATGTGAAGTGTACTAAAATCGAAAATTCCCTCATTCCTACTTACAAATGATGATAACGTTACCAAAATTACGTTATCGCTAACACCGACTAAATACCTTAAATACTTAATATCGGAATTTTTTAATAAAGAATCTGGTTTTTGATACGAATTGTCTGCAAACGCCCTAAATTTAATAATGTTGATCTATAAATTGAGACAATGAGACTGAGGGTGTCATGTTTAATTGATAAGTCAATTTAGGCGGATTTTCATTTATCAGTGCAGTCGAAATTGCACGACTTTAATTTAACTAATTATTTTTTTAATATCTTCTAAATTCTCTAAATATAAATAATTTGGAGGAATTTGGCACAATATACTCATTTTAAAACTTAAAAAGTAGTTTATAACGCAGTATAAAATTTAAAAAATACATACACCAGGTTTCATTAATGTTTGTCCATCTTCTGGTGTAAACTTCTTAACCTGAATTTTCATTTGTAACAAAGGATCAATTTTATTTTTGTGGCTTATGCGCAATTTTTTGAGTAATATTGAATCGAAAATCCGAAAAATAGTTGCGTCACCAACATAAATTTTATCGAGTGGACCAATAAAGATAGAAATAGAAACTTCTTTTAACAATTTTAAATAAATTTTCCGTTTAATTTAACTATGTATGTAACCTTTTTTATTTATTTTATTTTTTAAATATAAAGTAATTCTAATTTTAACAATTACGAGGAATTTGGCACGATATATATATATTTTTTGAATGTACTTTAAAACTCAAGCTGTAGTTTATAACTTCAGTATAAAATTGAAAAAATACATACACCAGGTTTCATTAATTTTTGTCTATCTTCTGGTGTACATTTTTTAACCTTGGTTTGCACTTATAACAAAGGATTAATTTTTATTTTTGTGGTTTTCACATGATTTTTTATATGTTGATATTATTTTAGTAATGTTTCATCGAAAAACCGAGAAATAGTTGCGTTACTATCATTTTAATGAAGTGGACAAATAAGTTTGATTTTTGCTCTATGATATATGATAATAATTAGAAAATTTTTCTTTTTACAATTTTGTATAGATATACAGGGTGCGCCAGAACTTGCGCCCCAGAGAAAAATGCCATGTAAGGTAAGATACTTGGAATATGGAAAAAATGTTAAAAAAAAATATCTATAAAAATTTCGAAGTTATGGGAGTTTAAATTTTTGCATTTTGATTCTATTTATTTCTGTTGGAAAAATAATTTTCTAAGTTTTTTGCTATAGGCTATTAGAAAAGGAAACAAGGAAGCTGTATCCGAAATTGTATCTTTGTTTAATGTTATTTGTGGTTTTTATTAGCAAAATTTTTGTACCTTTTCTAAATAATTGTAAAAAAAACATATACAAAATCATCAGTATCATGAAATAGACATAAAAATATGTCAAATGTCAAAAAATAAATGTCCAAATTTTTTGACAAATAAAATTTTTGAAACATTTTTTTCATGTTCCTGCTATCATATCTTACTTGAAATTTTTCTCTGGGGCACGAGATCTGACGCACCTGTATTTTACGTTTAATTTAACTAATTATTATTTTTAGCATTTTTTTCAATTTTTTAAATATAAAGTAATCCTAATTTTCAACAGAAAAAGTAAACAGAAAAGTAGTTTGTAAGATTTAAAAAATACATACACCAATTTTTATTAATTTTTGTTCATCGTCTGGTATACATTTTTTGACCTAGTCTTCCATTTATAACAAGCTTCAGTTTTTATATTATTATTATATCACTATTACCAACATAATATTTATGGAGTGGACAAATAAGTTTGATGTTTGCTATATGTAGAAACTATATATTTTTTATTTTTTTTTTGTAGTTACACTGCATAATTAGCAACAACCTGGACACCAAAACTCTGGGTATTGGCGCCAGTAGTAAACTCCTCAACAGCCTCAAAACCCAAGTTGTGTGCTTAGCCAGCTCCTCAGACATCCTCCCTAGCGTCCAATCAGCAGCCCAGAACGCCCTTCAAGCCGGTTGGTCGGTCCTTCTCCCAACAGCCAATGGAAGGGCAAGAATTCTCAGTTCACTTCTCCTCAACACCGACTCGGAAACAAAAATGTGTAAATCAGGCCACCGATTTATGACCGACCTTCTCGTTTGGAGTTTAATGGCAGATGGGGGCCTTGAAACAGCCCTAAACGAAGCCCTAGGACTCGATATTTCCGAATTGACCGAATCGGAGGAGAATTTCGAACAATCAACGACTCATATCACCATACCTTTGTTGTATCTGATCAAACAGTTGATAAGGTAGTTTTCTGTAATTTGGGGGTTGTCATTATGAGTTCTATGGGGGTTGTAGGAATGGTAGCGCACAAACGCAGACGTTTTTGAAGGAATTGGGGACTTGTGGTAAAATGGGGGCTCAAAGGAATGTTCCATCGCCCAGTTTGAAGCTTTTATCCCGATTTCAGAGATTATTAATTGGACGAATTTTTTCGAAAGGATTGGAATGTCAAGATGCGTGTGAGACACTTCTAGTGAAGTATTTAGAGTGTTTTTCGGGTCACGTGACTGCTAGTTTGAATGTGGCCTATGAGACGTGTCTTGTAATGCCGAAAAATTTTCTCTACGTTTTGCAAATCCTCAAAGGTGACATCATTGGTAAGTAAAATATTATATCACAAGGTGGAGAAAACTAATTTATTGTCCGAGATGCGTAGCATCGAGGGAAATAATAAATGCGAGACTATAGTTGAGAAACATTTTTATTGTAAGAATTAAAATCGTAAATATAATCTACACATATGTGTAAATACGGTCAAATGCCGTGACTGGAGCCCCAAAAATAAACGATAAAACTTCGATAATTAGTGTGAGGACTCGTGAAATGGGACTGATGATTCTCTTCACAACTCCACGAACCAATGTTATAAAAATCATGGGTAAATTAATTAATGTTATTGGTAAATGCATGATTCTTTGCGGTAATGTAACAAAAAATCTGACCATTCTATGGGGCAAATAAGCCATAAATCTGAAAAATCTGAACGGTAAAGTCATTTGTCTTAGCACAAAAACGATGAAAGGTTGGATTATAACTGATAAAAAGAGTAATACGATGACACGGAGGACACCGAAGGTCCCAGAGACTTGCACATTATGTGCTGGAATTATTTGATTAGTTATAACCGCCGGTTTCTGTGAATTCAAACTTACTGTGTGCTCGTTCCAACAAGGATGAGATTGGACTTACAGGGACCTGTACAATAATTTTATTTTTACTTTTATTTTAGTTAAATTAGAAAGGACTTACCGCAGCCGCGATCGTTAAACCTGCAAATAAAACTAATAAACTTGTACGCATTTTGTGTTAATCTGATCGAAATTGATTTTTTTCGTGTTTAAATAGTCCTTATTTAATTTTGTGCGGCCTTCGTTATATTGAAAAAAATAAATTGGGGATTGTTTTAATAAAGACAATCTGATTAACGTTTTGCTTCATTTAAAGCTTGGATTTGTATTGTTTAGGCGAATAATAGTATTAGTTATTTTATTTTTGTGCTAGTGGCCGGATTTCGGATTTACCGAAGTAGACCCATTTGTGCAATGTTAAGGTGAGCTAAAAATAAGAATTTTTAGCAAAAATTATGGTTTTATAATAGAATACAAAAGGATTCTATTCCTAAACTACCGAAAAAAAAAATTAAAATAAAACAAAAATAAGTTATTAACTTTTTTTGAGTATTTTATTACTATCTATTTTTATTATAGTGTTTTTAAATTTTCTTTATTTACGCTTGTTTACGTAATAGTCGTACTTGGAAGATTTTTGCTTTCAAGAAATCATGGTATAAAAGGGCTTTATACAAGGTGGTCTAAGATTTTCCAAAGTATGTAACAGTTCTTTTTTTGTATAAACATTTTTGTTTTTCTATCTTGTTAAAATCTTTTTTTCAGTAATTTGTGCTTAAAGTAAATGAATCCGATCAAAATCTGGCATTAAAGAACGTTTTATTATCGTTTTTTTGTTTTTTCTATATTTGTGGGGTTAAAATTTATCTTAAGTAGGTAAAAAAAAATACTAAATTTGATACTGATTGAAAAAAGACATACCAGGTGAATAGAAAGTATGGAACTAAACGTTTTTTGCTGAAAAACTATTTATTTAAAAAAAATCTAATTGCTGCATGATAAAGTACCGTGCGATCAAAAAAAAAATAAATTAGAGTAGGCGGTGATTAAAATCAGATGGCAATCCTGATTTTTGACATCAAATGTCAGCGGAAACTTTGACAAGTTTTGTTTATTCCTTTTGAGTGAAATAATGTTCACTTTAGAGCTGTACAAGAGGAAAACGGTGGATGGTAATTTTCACTTTCAGTTTGTGTGGAAAATTTCCAGCCCAGATCCTCAGCCAATGTGTTGCCAACTGTAGAATTTAATCGACGCCTACTCTAATTTATTTTTTATTTGATCGCACGGTACTATTAAAATGAGACGTTTCTCAAGAATAAGATTTTTCTATTTTTTTTTCTTTTTGTACTGCATTTTTTTTAAATGACTATCTACTAGAAAAACTTTTTTTTACAAAAACTATGATCTAACAGGAATTACAACTATCTACATTTTGTTCAATTATTATCGAAAAAAATTTTCATATTGAAAAAAATTTCATAACTGAAAAATAAAAAAACTCCATTCTAAAAATACGATCACATTTTTATAGCATTTTAATTTTTATTAATTATTATTTTCTGAAGGCAAATGATTAAAAAAATGCTTAGACTGAAGTAATAGTATACTATAACCTAGTTGGAAAATTGTTTATTATCCCAAGGGCTCATGTTATATTAAGTTCGAAGATGTAATGAAATTTTAAGGTTTGTAAACTATTTTTTTCTCGGCATATTAGTATAGTGAATGTGAATAAAAAAATGTAAATAATTTGAGTAAAAAGATGTATGAAAAAATATGATTTAGAGACTTTTCTATTTAAAAATAAAGAACTTTAGAGTATAAGGAGATTATAATCGATTATTTTTTATTTAGTTCGTAAAAAAATCAGAGTAAGACAATTGCATTGTGTCACTTTTTTCGTAGTTTGTTAAAAACTAAAATCAGAAATAAAGGTTTTTTTTATTTTATTTTTAGAAATAAGACATTTTTAATTGTTGGCTTTTATTTTATTGCAAGTATCAATAATTATTCATACATATACACAGTATTAGACATTATTATTGGCATTCCAGATAGGAAAGAGACAACTTTTGCGACAAATCTAACAATACTCGTCACTGGACTAATTATCATCGCAATAGTTTGTATTGTAGTTATTGGTAAATAAACAATACTCAAAACTAAACTTCCTAAACTCCACGGGAATGTCAAAATAAAACTAATTAATTTAAAGGGAAATGAAATAAAAAATTGAAAAATTGTAAAAGGAAAACGTATTACATTTATAAGGGAATAAACTAGTGGCAAAAATAAAATTCGAAGTGCTAGTTTCACTATCACTGGAATTACACCAAAAAGGCCCACTTGACGGAATGTCGTTCCTGAAACTGTATTTTTTTGTTAATTAATTATTTCTATTATTTTATCTACGAGTATTTATTTTATTAAAAAAGATCGTAGTTAAAACGTCGCATTTGACTCGCACATAATGGCAATAGTTCACTTGGATTATTCTCCATTATGTACTCGTTAAATAATATACTATTATATAGAGGACTTACTCATATTCTGGCTTTCATCTTGCAATGAAATTTCACTCTCTTGTGGTGGAAGGAAAGGTAGAGCACCCTGTCAGTTTTTTTTTTAATAACTTGTGTTAAGGTGATAATAACTTACGGTCGTAGCCAATGAAAAATACACGAAAATTGCGATAAGTGAGATGTGCATTGTTGGAATATTAATGATTGACATAATTGGAGTCTGTTGCTTAAATACTATTGTGGGAAATAATGAGTTTTTCTATCTTAGATGTTTCATTAACTTTGTTTTTGCTAAAGTAAATTGGTGCAAAACCGGACCATGCTTTTAAAAGTTTTATTTCGATAACAACATAATGGATTTTTTAAATAAACAAAATCATTTGTTTTTATTAATTACGGGGTGTTCTAGCCAAATAACAAGGATAGTTTCAGTTCAGAAAATTTTTTAGATATAGTTTTTTAAACATTTTTTCTATAACACCAGTGCAGAGTTTTTGGAGATTAGAAGATTATAGAATATCATTTACTTTTCAAATGAATTACCTAGATTTTTTTGCTAAATTTTTAAATCGCGAAATTTTATTACGAGAAATGGTTGTCTTAGAACAAATAATGTTTAGATTTGAGAAATTATCACGCTATTCTATTTTATAATTGCGGTCTTATTTGGTCAGAATTTAATTATCTTTATAATCCAGCGTTTGCATTCTGTCTATTGTCAAAAAAATCATTTTCAATGAAACAAAATGAAAAAGTAAAATATCTGGAACCGTGTAACCTACTCGATTCCAATTAATTTTCAAAATTGTTTTTTTTTTCTTGAAAATTTTTACAACTTACAACTAGGTACTTGTTTTTTTACAAGCCAAAACTCGCGCCTCAGAGAAAATTTTCAAGTAAGGTAAGATACCAGGAACATGAAAAAAATGTTTAAAAAGTTCTATCTGTCAAAAAATTTTGAGATTTATTTTTTGACATTTGACATTTTTTATGTCTATTTAATGATACTGATAATCTTGTATATGTTTTTTTTTTTTATAATTATTTAGTAAAGTTAAAAAAAATTGTCAATAAAAGCCACAAATAACATTAAACAGAGTTACAATTAAAGTTATAGAATCCTTGTTTCCTCTTCTTATAGCCTGCAACAAAACACTTGCAAAATTTAAACTCTCATAACTTCGAAATTTTTATAGATGAAATTTTTTTAACATTTTTTCCATGTTTCTGGTATCTCACGTTATATGGCATTTTTGTCTAGGGAGTGAGTACTGGCGCACCCTGTACTTAGTAATAAGTGATTTACATAATTGAATTGAATTTTTGTCGGTTTTAATGGAAATTAAAACATTTAACAAAAATTTAATCCAAAAGTAAAAAAAAACTTTACAGTACACATATAAGCAATTTATATATGCTTGTAGGCTTAAATACATTTTTCTTGCTAGCCTACTTTTATTTGACAATTTTTTTTATTTCTTTTTGTCTGATATTCTTTTTTATTTCTTTTTTTTTGTCTTCCATTTTTTCTTTAATTTAGTTTTTTTTTTAGTTAATTTGTTCTATAGCTAGCCATTCATGAAGAACACTGTATATTTTTATTTCCATATTACAATGAGCTTTTTTTAGATATTCACTCCAAAAAAAAAACAAAGATTTCTATGAAATGGTTTTATTTTACAAATTTATTTGATTCCTATACACGGTGATTCAAAAATGTAGGACAATCTCTTATATGGTGTTAAAAAACGCTAATAAAGTAACTCAGATTTGCTTTTAGAATTTCTAATTCAAATTCTTTCTTTTTCTGGTAATCATTATTAACTTTGTCTTTTTATTTCAATGATTTTCAATATTTTTGTTTTACGTTTTTTTTTCTAGTTTTAATTGGTGTGGCATTTAATTTTTTTCTTTCAAAGCTTTTTTTCATATTTTGTTTTTTTTTGTTTTCTGGTTTGGAACTTTTTTACTAGGCATTTTTAAAGGCTTTACCAAATTAATTTTTTTCTTTTTTGCTTTCACTAGGTATATCTACTTAAGTTTTCTTCTTTTTTATTTTTTATACTTTTATATTTCTTTGTATTGTTTAAACGTTTTCTCTTTCATAGTTCTTGTTTTTTATTTTTCAGTTTTTCTGTCTTTATTTTGGTTTTTCTGATATTTTCTACTTTTTTATTAGCTTTACTTCTTTTTAGATTTTACTATTTCTTTTTTTCTTTCTTTGCCTTCTGTTTTTATGACCTTCTATTGTTTAGCTTTTGTTTTTGAACTAATTTTCTTCTGTTTTTTTTATCTACCTAGACAGTCTTTGTTTTTTGTAGTTCTTTATTTGTCTAACTTTTTGCTATATTTTTATTGTTTCTTATACAAGAAGTTTGAAAAATTAAGTATAACCGCAATTTACTTCTAATTCTTTTGTTTTGGTCATAAAAGTGGTCACTTTTGTGACGATTGCGGATAAATTGTATTTAAAAAAGGCGAAGTTTATTGTACATTTTTATTTAGAAATGTACATACAAAGAATTGAGAAATTAATTAAGAGATGAGTTAATGAAACGCATTTTTGATTTTTGACATTTTGCTCACAATTCTTCATTATTAAACTCTCACTTTTATGTGTAATTTTAACTTTTTTGTACCGTTTTTAGGCATCCTCTTACCTGAACTCATCATCAGCCTAATCCTCCTCGAATCGGAAGTGGAAATGTTTTTAACTTCCGTCAATTGGCTCAACTTATTCGGCGAAGTGATTAAATCCCTCGATAAGTTATGTCGCTTATCACCAGATGTCGAAACGTTTGATATCGACGACATATCATGGCGTGGAGTGTCCCAAACCCGTCCAAATCCCTACTGTCATAAACCCTACGACGATCTCCCCTTAATCCGAAAAGCCGACCTTGACAATCACAATATGGATGGCGGTCTTTGGGTTTTAATCAACAACAAAGTCTACGACGTGCAGGATTTCAGGTGTGACAGTTCAACAATCAACGAATTGTTGCAAAAATACGCCGGCAAAGACGCCAGTCAATTGTTTAATAGCTCACCCTACCATTTATCAGTATTACAAATGATGGAGAACTACGTTGTTGGTAATTATTGCCAACCTGAGCCCGAAATACCCCAAAACAATCTGGATTGTTTGAACGTCTATTCGACACTTTTCGACACCGAACGCAATCTTGGTTATTTACTCGGGTTGCATTCGTTCAATTTACGACAAAGTTTGCCTTTGCAACAGGAAGAAATCACCTCGAATGTGTGGTTAAATGCGCGTTTTTTACGTGCTGGTCTCCAGGTTGACCAACCACCGAATCCGTACGGTGAAGAGAAAGGCGAGTCGAGGAGTACCAACTCGACCACGGAAAATACCCCAACTGAGCCGAGAGTTAACGAAAGTCAACGAGTTTCGAAAAAATTTCAATTGCCCATCGATCGGATCAATTCGTTTATTAATGCTTTGGCCGAGAGTCGATTATCGGTAAGTTTAGTGGTGTTTAGTTTAGATTTTAGTAATTTTTTTTTTATTAGGATTCGTACGTGATTTCGTTTCTCGCTGTAGTTGAACAGTTTTCGAAACAGAATAATTTTTTAACACGTGTGGATTTTTCGTTTGAACATCCGATTGAAGAAATCGGAAGGGTTTTATATGCCGTTTTGTTGAAACATTTAGGATTGGGCTATGTTGTATTACCGATTTTAGATGCATGTAAGTGGTTTTCAGTGTTGCCAGGTGTGGTGAAATTTTATCAGATCTGGTGATTTTGTGAACACTTTGGTAAAAATTCTAATATCTGATGATTTTTTGGAAATGCTGAAAACTGTTTTTCGAACATTTTCCACGTTTTCAACCAGAAACGTGATTATTTCTTCGAAAAGTCGAAAAACCACCAAATTGGTTAAAAATAGTTCTGTTTGTTCTAGACATGATCGAAAATGACAATTTATTTTTTTTCGAATACTTTTTCAGCTAAAAACGCAAAAATTCGTTAAAAACAATTCAAAAATTTTAAAATTTGACCAAAAACGGCGATATTTTTGTCCTTTTCAACTGTTTAAGCACGTTTTTGAGATAAAAAGAAAGAAAATTCTAAAAAAAAAATTTGAAACAGGCAAAAAAAATTACAAAATTAAGTCGAAATTGATATTATTTTTACCTTGTTTCGCTCGACTTACTTCGTTTTTGAAGCAGAGGCTCATTTATTTTGCAAAATCTTGTCCAAACACCCTTAGAAATCGCAAAAACAATTGATATTGTTGTTATTTTGTTTGTTTCACTCGATTTAACTGGTTTTTGAGCAAACTAAGACAAAAATAAGCCGAGAATGTTTTTAAGCATGTTTTTGTAATACAATCTCAGGTTTTTTGCGAGATTTCGCTAAAACTAACTGATAAATCAACATTAGTCGAAAATTACATTAATTTTGCATTTCTTGAGACTGTTAGCATGTTTTTCAGCAAGAAACACAATTATTTCGCAAAATTGATTAAAAACAAGCCAAAAAAACACAGAATTACGCCGAAAATGAAATAATTTCTTCCTTTTTTGAAAGTTCAAGCAGATTTTTAAGCTGAAAACTGTTTTTTCGTAACAGTTTGCCATAGCGTGTCAAAAATTACTAAATTGTTACAAAAAAAAATATGTTATGAAAATTAAGTCTAGAATTACATTAGTTTTCCATTTCTCGAGCATTTTAGCACGTTAGATACGCATTATTTTGCAAAATTTTGTTGAAAACAAACTGAAAAATCACAGAATTAGGCGTTAAAGCATGTCATTTTTGCTTTTTTTAAGCAGAATTTTAAGTTGAAAACTGCGTTTTTTTGCGAGATTTTGCCACCCAAATCGTAATCTGGTCAAAATTTGGCAAATTTTTCAACTCGGATCTGGTGAATTTTATGTTTTTGATCTGGCAACACTAGTGGTTTTAGGGTTTTTAGTTTTTTAGCTATTTGGTTTGATTTAGATTCAAGTCAACCGAATGTAAAACTACCCAAAGCCATAGCTGAGATGATCAAACTCGTTCATGGCACAAAATGGAGTTTGATTAAAATGCGTCAAGAGTTGAATAAAAGTTACAAAGAGATTTGTATCCCACTTTTGGAAAAATGCAGGTTTTTGTTGTATGATGTTAGACCAAGTATCAGTGTCGAAATGGAGGCTTTTAAGAAAGTTAATATTTTGTATAAAGAGCCTCGAGTTCGCACTTTGGTGAAAAAAGTTATTAGAGATCTGAAATGTGGACGGCACACTTCTGAAATTCAAAAACCCGAAGACATTGTCAATGCCACAATTCAGTCGCAAAGCGAACGACACAAATCTAACGAAGACGTTAGTAAAACTTCTATGAAGAAAACGTCTTCCGATGGTAAAATTTCTGAATCGAAGAGTGAAACCGATGATGTTAATAATGAGATTAAGAATGGGGCTCAGAAAGTCGCTGAATCGAACAATTCGCAAAGGAATACGAAGAGTTGTGGTGTCGATTTGGAGGAGAAGTGGAATGTTGAGAAGATTGAGAATGATACGAGGAGTGAGCAAAGTGAGGAAGAGAAGGAAAAGAAGTTGGAAAATGAGATTGCGTTGAGTGGGATTGTTTCGAAATTGACTGAAAAGCAAATGAAGAAAGTTTGTACGGAGAATTTGGAATTGATGAGTTCGATTGTGGATTTTGTGGTGCAGGAGACGTGCGATGTGGAGATTTTAAGAAAAGCCATGTATTATCAGGTAAGTTTCAAAAATTAAAAAAAAATAATGAAAAAACTGTTTTCTTTTTAATTCTGCATTTTCTTTACTTTTTCTTATTTTTGTTGGTTTTTTAGCATTTTTTACTTTTCTGAAGCTAAACTCTGTTCTGTTTCTGTTCTTATACTCTTCTAATTCTTTCTTTTTCTGGTAATAATTATTAACTTTGTCTTTTTAGTTCAATTATTTTCAATATTTTTATTTTACAATTTTTTATTTTTTATTTGTTTTGCATTTTAATTTCTGCTTTTTTTGTATTTTCATATTTTGATATATTTTTGTTTTTCTCACCTAACTTTTGTGTTCTTCTGTTTTGGAATTGTTTACTAAACATTTTTAGAGGTTTTACAAAATTTTGTCTTTACACTGTTTTTTTCTATTTTGCTTTCACTAGGTTTTTTTATATTTCTATATTTCTTTATATTGAATGTCTGCTTTAAACTTTTGACTTTCAAAGTTCTTGCCTTTTATTTGTGTTGATGTTGATTTTTCTATTTTTATTTTGGTTTTTCTCTCGTTTTTTATCGGATTCTGTTCCTTTTTTATTAGTTTTACTTCTTTTTGTGCTGTTTTGGCTTTTGAATTTTACTATTTTTACTTTTTTCATACACTTTTGTTTATTTTCTTCTCTGTTTCCTATTTTTACGGGCGTAAAAATTATTATTTAACTTTTGTTTTTTAGTACTAATCTTCTTTTATTTATTTTACCTAGCCAGTTTTTTTTTTCATTTTTTTTTTAATTTCTTGTTCGTCTAACTGTTTGCTATAATTCTATGTTATGTAAAACAGCAATTTACTCGTTATTTATTTATTTATTTACTATTAAATATAAATATAAAATGCTGTGTACCTCGTTATAGAAACGGGGAAATATGAAAAG